GGCTTCTCTGCAACCACAGATATTTGTTTTACATTCATTTTTAGATGCAAATAAATTTGTTTTACATTTGTTTTACAAAGTACAAGGAGGGAGTGGGGCAAAAAACATATGCATGTACGAGCCAATTAGATCGTTGGCAATGCAACGATTTTGTGAGGGTTTCTGTGCTCTTCTGCATCGATAGAAACATTCCAAGCAGTCCAAACGGAATTTATTCGTTGTTGTTCCATTTTGTATCGCTTTTGACAAAACAGTGGCGTACATGGAATTAATGGCGTGCTTTATGCGGGTGCTGCATTGATGTGATGAGATCACCCAGTTGTAATCCTTCACTAGTTTCGTTTGCTTTTGTGACTTTAGCCACTCACTACCTCTGTAGAAAAAGTTTTTTTGAAAATGTATTGTTGTGGCCGACAAGTTCAGCATGAACAGATTCTGACTGCGTCACTGTCTTAGGTGGCTCCCACATGGTTCGTAAGCTGAGCCCTATCTAGAGCTTCAGCAGAGGTAGTGAAGTGGTTTGGGTGTCTTATCGCACTATTGGAAGCTTACGTTCACCTTGAGAAATGAGCTCAATATCGTCAAAGGAACGGCAATGTCGTACGTTTGTGGACAGTGCGGCGAAAAAACCCGCTTCATATCGCCTCATGACGAAAAGGTGCTAAAAATTGAATGGTATGACTTTGCTACGTATTTCGAAACACTTGGCTCACTGACGCTATGTCCCATATAACGAATATGTAAACAAATGACAATGGCATTTTCCACCATATGTTTTGGGATTCGCTGCGAAATTGAAGTAAACCACTTGCCGTTGCTATAAAAATTTCAAGATTACCATCCTGAGACAACTTCATGCGGTCTCTCACTACCCCGCCTCCACTCCAGCCTCCCTCCATCACCACTTCTGTTTTTATCGAACTTCTTTTTGGCACTACAAAGCACCTTCTCGGCTCCTCCCTCTAAAAATTCGAGGGAGGGGAGACAACCCTTTCTTCCAAAAAATCACAAATATCCCCTCTTTTTACTTGTAGATACTTATTACCTACGAAGGGTTGACCCTGATATAGAGAAACGCCTTTCATAACGTTTTGTTAACTGAACTCTTCACCATATTTTTTATTTCCAAGTTTCATATTTTGCAGTTTTTCATCATTAAGCTTAGCTCATTATAAAGCTTCAACTTGCTCAGCTCAGCTCTTGTTTCAGCAATTTGCTCTATCAGTGAACGTTCTCAATCACTGGAATATCAGTGACACCTCTCGTCAAAAAGTCATATAGTACATAACCTTTCAGAAAACAGGAACAGCATGTTCTGGCGAAAGTGGAAGTGGACCGTCATAAGGAATTTCGTAGCATTCTGGTAAGCGTGAGAATTACTTCAAAGAAGTGTGGTGATGAGCCCCTGCTATTCCTCAAATTCTTGTTTGAATTACTTACGATGTTGTTATCTGAAATGCTTGTTACTAACGTTTCGGCGATATCGCCTGCTTCGGAGCCTAGAGGAGGGATACCGAATAGTAAATGCCGACCAAATATCTCACCTACCTTATATGAGTCTCGACGTGAACATATCATTCGCCCATATTGCAGGCAATGAAATTCTATTCCTTTATCAGAACCCCTGACCAGCCAATGGTAATCACAGTATCGGAAGCTCTTGGGAGCGTCGCATTCAGGGTCTCGGTTGGAATGCTAATTTCTTATACAGAGTTAGTTCCCGCGTTGTTGATAAGCATTTCTCCCTCTGATGATTTTTTGGACTCTTGACATGAATGCAAAGTGCTTCCAAGGTCTTCCGCGCGAACAGTTGTGCTTCATGTGCTATGATCTCCTCAGTGATTTCAAAATTGTCTCCGTTGTGATTTTGAACCCTGTTCGAATCCTGTGACAATCTCAGTATTCAACTCCGCATACTGGCAGTACATTCCCTAGTCCACCCCCGCTAGAACAGTCCCTTTGTCTGAAAGCAAACTGCTGCTGCCGTGAAAATTCTGAACCAGGTTATGTTCAGGTTGTTGGCAGGCTGAGCGTTGAGCTTCCATCCAATGTGACTACTATTCTAAAGCCTTTCAGAATTCTTTGCTACTCCCGATGGGATCCAAGAGAGTCACAAGAAACGTGGTGGTGTGAAGGAAAGAAGAACCACCATGTTGCATCGGCCAGATCCATGAAGTAAATAACGAATAGCTCTACAAAGCTTCACTTCCTTGAGTTCCTCTCAGTACAGCGCCCTGTCCGAAAGCATGAAAATACGTTTGAATGTTCTAGTGAACACCGCCGTTGGAGTGGCACTAAATTTGAAACATCTGAAAAGGCGGAGAAAACACGTGATGCATTGACGACGGATTGATAGCGGCTTATCGTTCAATCCTTATCATTACTTGAGTGGCGAAATTTCCCTTCCGAAAGCAGAGAACAAGCGTGACTAGGTGCAAAGTGCAGCAATTATGCCTTCGCCTGGAGATCGGATTCTGAGAAAGACAAGATGATACCCTTTTGTTATTAAATCTCCTCAAATAAGATCACAAGTAAAGGTTAGTTTTTTTTATATTGAAATGCTACCATTATCGAACAAAACGCTGCACATGTTCCGCAGATCGTCCGTAGAAAAGTCATATGGATCCCATGGTGAGCTGTATGGTCGAAGAAAGGGAGGATTGCCTATTAGGAAGCCTGGAAGCCCTAATGGTACAAACCGACACGCAAGAAAGGATGTGCTCAAGGCAATCAAACATGGACGTACCACGACGCCATCGGCGCGGTAGGCCTCCCTCTCCTTGGCTGACTCTCTAATCGTTTAGCAGAGGGAGCGTTAGCATTGGAGAGGGCAGCGCCGACTCGCATCGATATGGTAATCAACGTGCAAGGAAGGGGTCCCATTCCCTGGTTCTGGGTCGTTTTTTAATCCCTATTCCATTTTCCATCTGCCTTTATGAGCTGAAATTGGTGAAGCAGTGCCTTCTTGAAATCCAAACGGATCTTAATTGATCGTTCTGACTAGTCTTTTTCGTGTCTTTATCGAGCTGTTACGTAATTTTTAAAGTCCCCTAAGGTTTTATGAGGCTTTTGTAAAAACAGTCTCTATGTATATCTAATGAGATTTTATCATCACATATAGACCTTAATATAAAGTGCTACGTCCATCAATAAAAGTGATTGGACTGTGATTAGTTTGTGAAAGTTTACTGGCGATGGTTTGTGAAATGATTCACTGAATTATTTAAGATTTTCCTGTTTGATGGTCACAGTCCTTGCTGGCGCTCTTTCCCATTTTTATGGTCCTAACGTAAGAGACGCAGAGGCGGTCGAAGACTTGGAAACTTTTATGTTTTTATTCTGGCCCACAGCAGAACACAACATACAGGGTGGTCCAAAATTATGAGGACCAAGACATTGTGTCGTTAAAAACGCATAGTAGCTTGATGGAACAAACAAACTTACAGGGAAGTGTTTGTAACTCTTATCTCAAAGTAATTCCAGAATAGAATTGAGATCTGCCACCTGCCGCGTTTACACGAGCCTTCAGATGAAGGGGGTGGCGCGTGCGGTGGCACGCAACTGAGGCGTGTCAAAATGTTTCCAGGCCTTCTGCTCTGCTTTCTTCAGGGGATCAACGTTTTGTGGGGCATTCATTTACCCATGTCTCCAGGGTGTAAAATACAGAATTCTAGAGCTGTTAGGTGGAGGGTTCCATTGTAACAATTCTTCGAGAGCAACACAAACTCGAAATAGCTTCTTAGAGAATTTTTGCTCTATTCTTGGGTGCTCGGTCCAGTAAAACGTCCCAAGTATGGTACTCAAGTGGCTTCCTATCCACTATAGATGTGGAGTCTTTAGAGTGCCTGGCTGGGTTTTCACATCGATTTTTTCATTTTGGGAGTACGAAAGTCGACAAGGGGAGAGCAAGTTTCTGCATCTGATATGTCCTAGTTTCTGAGACTTCATGAAGTATAGTTTAAAAAGGAAGAATACACTGTACCCTATCACATGGTGCACATTCAGCAGAAAGGAAAATAAACTGGGAAGCGCTCGCAAAGTGGATATGACCGCGCGCGCACGCGGTTCTCATAATTTTGGATAACCCTGTAGAACTGTGTTTCAAACTCACATGTCAGATTCTCAAATCAGAATACGAATACCCAAGTCCAGGAAGCGTACCAAAAGAGTAGTGAACAATTTTTTTAAAAAGTCGGTGCTTCTGAAGTTGGAAACTCAACCATTCCCAAGCGAATCAGCTCAACGCCTTTTGAATTCACATAGAAGTTCAAAAGCATGTTATAATCTTGATGGCATCGTTTCCATTAGTATTGCATCACTCATCGTTATGTTCAAACTCCGAAGTGCAAGCCGACACTTTGGATGCTAAATCAATTCATTCGATGGAATTGATTAGCAGTGGCAATGGCACAAAACCACTCGTGCCCAAAGGCACAATCAGTAGAATGCAGGTCTGGTGTCTTCATAATAGTAGTTTTGCTCAAACTTAAGACGACAGTGAGAAGCAGTCAGCTTTTTCCATTAGTTGTGACTATCGAAGGTTTCTGACGCGCCATTTCTTTAGGAAAATCGTTATTTCCCAATTCGATTCTCGATTTCGGAAAAAATGTTGCATCGTATACTCGATACATAGGCATGAACCAAAAAACTGCAACACCTCGCTGATGACTTGATATCAACTTTAATGCGCAAGCTGCCAAGTCCGATGGAAGAATTTTATCAAAAAAAAATCCTTAGATGTCCACCTATTCGAACTGGACGAAGACCAGTGAACAAGGGCAGATGCAATCCCTTGTTCACTCGTCTCGTCGCCTTCAGAATATGACGTCATCTTCGGCCGGGGTCGAATCAAGGAGGTGTTACGTAATTGCTCCGGCCTGAAGCAGCTACATGATTGCTTCACTTGATTAGCTGATGGATAGCCTCCTAGATACAGTGGCTCTAAGTATGCAGGACTTCTCCCGCTCAGAGTTCCGATAGTGCATTTGAGACAAATTACTTGGCTATTGGTCATGCTATAAAAAAACGAAAATGTTTTCAAAGTTTTGACCTCTATACATAAACACATAGTGTGTCAGGGGTATCATCACTAACACAACCTAACACCTTGGTTCGCAAGGTAGTACTGATAACAAGGCTGGGCTGTTGCACTGTTTCAGCTAAATTTTATATTCCGGAGCGCCAGTTTTTAGGTATGTTCCGTATTCTGAGCAGCAGCAGTTCCAGATTTTGCGCGAATATATTAACACATTACATGGCTGGTGGAATTTATGCGATAAACGTTCGAAGACAAGTCGTAAAGATTTGTCAACGCTAGAGAAAAGTTCCGTTGGAAAACGTAGATCGTTAGTGATCAAGTCCGCAGACCAGAACGAGGAAGGCGGTGGGGTATTTGCCGCGTTGTTGAAAAACATTTTAGGCTGGGAAACAAAGACAAAGTGCAGGGACCATTCCAGCACCATGTCTGCGTGCTGCTGGAAGTAAATGAGAGAATGAATAGGTGCGCTGTGTTAACGCTGAAATTACGCTAAGGTTCTACTTTATTTTTCTGGTGATGATTTTCTGGTGACGGAGACCAATGTCTCCAATATACCTAGCATACCTGCAAAGACAAGGAGTCCCTATCTTGAGGCGCCACTCGAATCGCTCCGCTGTTGAGCCGGATCCACCTCATTCAGGATGTTTCTATAACAGGAATCCGATGTTATTCCCATCATTCCAAACTTTAATGTGATTGCCCAACCAACGTTCTTTGAAAGGCTTCCAGTCTACCATTCCAGGTTGTTCGGTCTCTGCAACAACTATGGGTACGTGATCATGCTGAGTGCTGCCGAGGATATCATGGACATCCAAAAAGGGCAGAACAAGACGGAATCGCTAAGCCAGTGCGAGGTCTGTTACTATTAAATACGTTGCATTACTTGTAAGAGAAAGTTGACAATTCACTCTTTCTGCGGCTTTACGTTCACATTTGAGCCGAGAAGCGATTTTCGAGTTGGTTCTATTTATGATCAACCAATTTGCTGCCTTCTGCTCATGTGAGATATAGGCAATGCATACAACCGAAGGGCAGACAGCAGCGGTCTGGTCAAAGTTCAGAAGTTTTTTATTCCTAGCACAACGTGCCCGAGGAGTTGTCTAAAGTTCAATGTGCAAACGAAAACCGATCAGGGAACACAGCGGTTCACATTATATTGGAAACTGAAAAATATGATGAAAAAAAAGCGAAAAAAAGAAACATGTAGAATGTAAGACACGACGCCTATTCAGAAGTTCGAAAATTCCACAACATCAATACGATTTAAGCACATCGTTTCACGGGCAAGAGTGGTATCATTTGGATATTCGAATAATTTGACAGCTTCACACTGCAAACTGACATAATTAGAACAGTGATTGGAAGCTGAAAACTTGTTTTTTCCTAGCTTCAAGACGAGAACTGGAATATGCTGCTGCTATGTCCAACCATTCTCCTGTGCACTTGAATAAATTGAATCTTAGTCTTGTGCGTATTCTATCAACACATTTCACTTAACTGCATTTTGCACAAATGCTTATGACAATAAGAGAAAAACTGAAAAAGTATCCTCCCGAAAATTCTGTGAAGTTGTGCACGTCTTTGTTAATTCGAGGAATATTTCAATTCCTGTCGGCCGTGTTTCACAGTAATGCTGCATCGCCTATGGAATAAGTAAAAAAACTTGAGGAAAGGCAGCGCATGGACGAAAAAATATTGAAGACAACGCTCCGACGCACATGCGCGTCAGGATGTTTGAGGCGGTTCACAAGATCTGACGCACAGGAACGCAGGCGATTGTCAATGTGTTAATGAAGGTGATTCTTTTGAGTCGGAGAAGTAGTTTGCAGAACCGGGTGAGGATGATCTATGAGAAGGCTGCGACTTTGAAGAAGCTTTATTCGCCATCTTTTGACGAGTAAAAGGAGGTGTCGTGCTCCTTGGGTGCCCTTCTGAGTGGCCGAGTCCAATTTTCGATTCTCATCATCCTCTTGAAATTTCATCCTTGGAATTTATATTAAAAATTAAGCAACTTTTACTAGAAGAAGATAAAAAAAAAAAAAAAAGAGCCAATCAGATCCATTAATATCAGAGTAGCCACAGAAGAGAATCCAAACACGATAATAAGCATTCCACGTTGCAAAAACATGTCACTTGCCATAATTCTACATCATTCCCTTCCGAAACGGCAATAGCACCCTTCTTATCAATCTTAGCACGCTCTATGCAATAAAGATGAGTGATAAAAAAATTTATTGCCTTCTTAGTATTTTCTTTTGACGCCTCCCACTGCTTGCTATTAGCCACTGTCATAAACAGCGTTCTTCATTGAAGTGCAGACACGTACACACATGCAGGCTCACAGATGCCTGGAGACATGCATGGGGCTGCCAAACAAATTGTGTCGCAAACATAAGTGTCACCCCGATGATGAATTACTTTTCCCCATAATTTATTTTAATAGTACTACAATACGCAGTTGAGTAGAGTAACATGATCACTGTAAAGGATCCAATGAGAATTTGGTCAATTCATTCGACTTGTAGGATCGAATCAGTTCTCGTCATTGCACAACGATCTCCACGGGTGCTGTGCTATTGGCAGACAACCTCCCCACCCTCATCGTCAAACTCACCTTTCCTTTCTTCATGCAACGCATTCCTTTTGTGTGAGTTTCTTGCATCATTCACTGTGAACTGAGATTAGAAGATGAGAAGCATGAATGGGAAATCTATGCTCAGTTTGTTTAGACAGGCTGAGCTAAGGAGAAGGACACCAATCTGGTGGTAATCTGGCCACAGTTGCTAGTTTCAAGTGACCATGAGCTCGTGAAACTTAGTGAAGACTTCCATCCAAAAAACCTAGAACATGCGTGGAGGACCTCTAGAACCCACATGAAAATTCCCCGTCAAAACAGTCAAAGTTAGTCTGAAACTCTCGAAGTCGGGGTGATCACATCAAGTGACTATAAGAGGAATTGACATGTCTGTCTGGATTGATATGTCAGTTGTGACCACTAGAGACAGCATACAACGTTTTTCATGCACGAAGATTCAGTTTCCGGAGAGGAAAAAGCTTACGAAAACTATTCTCTATAGACGGACGAAGGTAGGTCAGAGCCATATGCGGAGTACAAAAAAAAGAGAAAGCTTTTCTTGTTCTTTTGCCTTCATACGTGGCAAATGAATGGCGCCAATAGGGATTTATGGGGATGTGACAGATTCTGATTTGTTGTGCGGGATCCTCTTGACGCTTTTTCGGGAAACCACTTAATGGCTCAGCTTATCCGGTTGAACACTGTCCAGGCCAGTTTAGGACCATGAACCTTGATTTCACGTTGTCAGAATTCCTCCAACGCACTCACCCCCCGCACCCGCCCAGCCCCCACTTCAAACCTGAAGCCGCAGTGACATTGCTGTTGGGAAGTTAGTTTTATGTGCGGCTGATGCATTTCTCTCTATCAATGAATCATACGCAGCGCGGTAGCAAAAATTCTCGGCCACCATTAATAGACAAAGAAAATTGATACAGTTCCATGAAAGTTTATTATAGAAGGCGTGTACAGGCCTACCTATCAATCCGGGAGACAAATCTCACTAATTTCGTTAATGGGTCTCACAGACTAAACTGTTTTTCGCATCATCAACTTGCCGTTGATAAGCTTAGTCGCCGAACAAACCAGTCTTACCGACATATTAATGGTTGCACTAGTGAATATCGTCCACGTTGTCATATAATGGGCTTGAATTTCGAGTGATTGCTCATTAAAAAGCGATAAGGGATTGCAGTTTTATTCGAATGACGTAATGAAACTCGTAGAATGGAGCATGACAGTAAGCCTCGTGTCGAACAGTTCCGTAAGTTACGAGTCATAATTCACGCAATCACGCATGACGGGCGCAATCAATTTTCAAGAGCGTCGGCTGCCATGGCTTAACCATAATCCGTAAGTTTTCCTTGTGACTCTCTTGGCGAGAAGGTCCTAATGTGCTTATCAGAAATCCCAGCATTGGAAATAACAAGAACGATTGCAGTTTTTGGCATTGTTAACAAAAAAGAATTTGATTCAGACTATGTCACAGGAAAAGGGTAAGAAATAAACCATTCGGTATAAATCAAACCACTTCCGGTTCGGAGGTTTTCATCGCACCTGTAAGCCTTTCGTATTGGAACGAGTATAAGCTTCTCTTTTTTGACCATTCCAGTTGGAGTTCGTTTGTTCTTTTGAAAATGCAAAAATGATGAGTGATTGAGCCCTTCCACCGTCACTACCAGTACGGATCCCGTGACTGCATGTGAGGAGAATAGCCAATGTCCGTGTAAACTGATAGTGAAAGATAAAAGAACCCCGTGTCTCTAGTCAAATAACGAACGGACTGTCTTACTTGCGAAGAATGCCCAAGCCAGAGAAATGCAAATAATTCTCAATTGCGCTTTTAAAAACACTGTAATTCTAAACAAAGCTTACTCGCGCTCGGCAAGAAATGCACCAATGAAAAATGTGACTTGCAAAATGGTGATATTGGAATTGCTTAATTTGGTTTCAGATTTCGTCATGTGCTTATATGTCTTCTACAGGCGACGAGTTACTTTGTGGTCGCCTTCTCGCAGGACGTCGCCATGTCACTGGCCGGCGTCTGCTTTGCCAGTCTCGGGTCCGGAATAGGAGAGATCAGCTATCTAGCCCTTGCTTCGCATTATCCAGCGTAAGTTGATTTACCTTGAAGCCCTTCTATGTGATTGACTCTGTTGCCGCCATGGTGCAGTCCGCATTCGCAAGATCTCGGCACCCTGAAGATTAAGGTCCGGAATTCCTAGTCGGAATTAAGCCTTCCTTGATGAATGCAGTAGCAGACTATCGGGGAGAGGTGATAAACAGCTTTGAGGATGGCTTGACAAGACCAAGGGTTAAAGTCCTGGGATGTAGCGTTGGCTCGCCCAACACCAGTGTCCCGTCCAAAAGCCAGTGCGAGTTCGCTTTGCCGCTACCAGGAACGAGA